AGCTCAGTGCCTGGCCCGGCTCCGGGCACTCCCCCCTTGGCTGTGCGAGCCCCCCGAGGCTGCCGAAGCTCGGGAATGGGCCAAGCACAAACCCAACACACGAATGCCGTCGGCAGCGCAGGGAGGGGGGGCACTGCTCCCCTGGCAGAGCCTGTGCCGCCGTTCTTCCGAGTCAGAAAGGCCTTTGCTGGAGCTGCTGCTGTGCCTCCTGCCCCCTTGCACTGTGCACCACTGGGGGAGCGGAACGGGTGCACAGGGTGCCCCATCCCTGGTGCCGGACACAGGGGCTTGGAGCACCCTGCTCTAGTGGAAGGGGTCCTTGCCCATGGCAGGGGTTGGAGCTTTAAGGTCCCTTCAACCCACACCACTGCAGAGTTCAATGAGCATCCCCACATATTCCAAATGAAGAACCAGGCAGTTGGGAGTCTCTTGCTCAAACACCATGAGGGGACCGCGCTCCCCTGCAGGATGCCAATGGGCTGCAAGGAGCTGGATCTCCCCCAGCAGCAAACGTCTCTGGGGACAAAATACACAGTTAAACACTTCAGCCCTCTTCCACCTACACCACAGGGCAGCTGCTGCTGCTATGGCACATGTGCCTTACAACTAGGAGTAAACTGAGACCCAAGAGAGGGTGCTGGCTTCATCACAGTGCAACCCCGGTACAGAGCTGTCACGGCTGCATTGAAGCTGCTTTGGGAATAGGGAACAGGACAGCTCGGACCCAGCCTGCCCAGGGCCATGCTGAGGGCTCACCAGAGACCACGCTGTGGTTACAGTGGCTACCAGTGACTCAATGAGTGGGTTCAAAGCCAGCCCAGGCAGTCACACCTCCAGAGAGCATCGCACACAGAGCGCATGGGCTCAGCCCACGGGGCCCTCGAGGACACAAACACCAGGTTCCCAAGCCCAGCATCCCCTGTGTGGTCCCCAGAAGGTGCCTGGTCCCACACATGGAACCCCCCAGGTGCTGCTGTGGCTCACAGGGATGCAAGCACAGTGCCCGAGCCCCCACAAACCATCCCTGCCCTTCCAGATGCAGCGTGGAGGCCGCATCCTGCTCCTGCAGCACCCGAACCACCCCGGGGGAAGCATCTTTTAACGTTTAATGCAGAAAGGGAGTTTCCAAGAGAAAGAGAACCCCAAAGTCCCTTGAGAACCTCTTCCAGAGTGAGTGAGTCCATGAGGCTCCTGCAAACCAGTCAAGCCAGTTCCTGTCAGCAGTGCTCCGCAGCGTCCTGAGAGCTGGGAAAGGGAATTCTGGAGTTCAGGACTAAACCAACTTGAATCCTTGAAGGTAGCGGAGGTGATGACTGCTGCTGGCATCCCTTTGGACACAGGCTTCCATTTGCTGGCATCCCTTTGGATAGAGGCTTCCATTGCGGGAGGAATGCTTCTGGCAGGGCCATAGTGTGCAGATGCTGCTGCAGTAGGGGCTGCGTGAGGTCTCCTGTCCTCGCTGGGGCTCTGCAGGCAACCTGCAGCTCCCCAAGGGATTCCTTGGAGGCTGTGCTCGAGGAAGGCCTCGGGCCCCATGGAGCTGCAGAGGAGCAGACCCGCAGGCTGCCTGGGAGCAATCCCAGCAGCTTTCCCCTCTGGTGTTCCTAAGGCACCAGGGGAGCCTCGCACCCTGCGATGGGAAACCAAGCATGAGTGACAAAGGTGACGGGGTTCTGCCCAACGCATCGAGCCAAGGGAGGAGGCGTGCCCAAGCCACCTCTAGGGTTTGGTGGGGGCAGTGATTTGAGGCCAGGCACTGCCATTCTGCAGCCCCTTGGGAAAAGGGATTTTCTGTGCTTTATCCGGGCAGTGGGCACAGAATTCCTCTGCTCTGGAACAGCCCGAACGCAACCTCCTCGCGGCTGACGAACAGCCCCCAGCCCGCAGCAGTGCGGGTGGATGTTGCTTGGGAAGCGCAGCCCGCAGCCCCCCGGCTCCCCGCCACTCACCCCGTGTCTCCGCTGCAGTCCGTAGGCGCTGACGGAGCGGGGCTCCCTGCAGGGACGGGACAGCCTCAGTTCGGGGAGCTCCTCGGTCCCCCCTCCCTTGGGCGGATGCTCCCGGCCGAGCCCCACGCGTTAAAGCGGCCCCGGGGGACACCGGGAGGCTCCGCTCCTGCAGCCGGGACCGGAGCACGGCCGCCGGAGGGGCGGGGCCAGCGCTGAGACCACGCCCCATGTTATCCCCTGGCCACGCCCCTCGCCGCCGCGGTGGTGGCGCCGCCCAGCGGCACACACACACACTCACACACATAGACCCAGAGCGGAGTCAATTCCCATTTAAAGACCTTTTAATGCCTTTTTCCATACACATCCCGAGCATCCCGGCTCCTCCCGCACTGGAGACAAAATATTCCCTCTACCGAATAAATAAAACGTGATCTCGCACAAAACCCCCACATCCATGCACACATCCCTCCCCAAGGCAGGGACTCGCAACAGCCCTGCCTTCAAACGACACCCTCCATCCTTCCTCCTGCTCCCCAGCAAACAATCACAACCCACATCTCGCACACAGAGAGGCACTGCATGATTCACTGGGAGAAGAAAGCAGAATCACAGACCCACAGAACAGCCTGGGTTGGAAGGGACCTTCGAAGCTCAGCCAGTTCCAACCCCCTGCAATGAGCAGGAGCATCTTTGACTGCATCAGTTGCCCAGAACTACATCCAGCCTGGCCTCCAATATCTCAAGTGCATTCAGCCACCTCTCTGGGCAACCTGGTGCACCCACTACCTGAAATGAGAAGCTCATGAGGAGCTTGTGCCTATACCCACAAGTGGTGGAGCAGGATCAAACCGCAGCGAGGTTCCATCAGTAACAGCACACAAGGGATGTGCTCACCTGCACTAGGACATGCCCAAGTCCCTAGCTGGTCCCTGTGTGATACATGTGTCCTCAGCAGAAGCTAGGAAGGACAACTCTCTGTCAACAGACACTCTGGAGCTGCTGCTTTATCACTTAGGGGTCTGTAATGAAACACCCAAGGCCTTTATCATCAACCCCATGCACCTGTAGCGTGGGGTGGAAGTTCTCTTTAGGCACTTAAATGGCTCAAAAAACACTTTAGCATCGTAGCAGCCTCCATGAGCTGTGTTGCCCAGTTTTACACAGTGTCCAGCACTCAGGTAGGGACCTGCTGGGAAACTCCTGCCCCTGAGGTCTCTGATCGCCAGGAGCATCTCTCCAGCCCACCTTTGGCATTAGCATTTTGCCTTAAAGACTTATTCCTGCAGTGGCCGGTGACCAGGGGAGGAAGGACAGACAAAACACGCTTTCTGTAGGTGGTTAAGGAGCTGCCAAACCCATCCCCAAGAGCACACAGCCCTTGTTGTGGGGAAGGGAGGCATATAATTTGAGAAGAAATAAACCCAAACCAGTGACCCTTTACGGGAAAGAAGTGCTTAAAAAGCTTGGGAGAAACCCTGGCAGGACCGTCTGCAGACAGCAGGGGAGAAGCTCTGCTTCCCCGCCAGGGAGGAAGGCAAATAAATATAGCAACACTTTGCCCTTCAGCAGAACCTCCCGAGTGCCCCTCGCTGCCCACACAACAGCAGTCACAGACACTGGGTTTGGAGCAGCCAAAGGTCCACAGCAGTTAAGGGCTGTCGAGCTTCCCCTGCACACTCACAGCCTCCAACAGACCAGGGGATGCTTCTCCTCTGCTGCAGAGGGGCTTGGGACAAGGGATGTAGGGACAGGGCAAGGGGAATGGCTTGAACCTGCCCGAGGGGAGACTGAGCTGAGCTCTTAGGCAGAAGCTCTTCCCTGTGAGGGTGCTGAGGCGCTGGCACAGGGTGCCCAGAGAAGCTGTGGCTGCCCCATCCCTGGCAGTGCTCAAGGCCAGGTTGGACACAGGGGCTTGGAGCAAGCTGCTCCAGTGGAAGGGGTCCCTGCCCGTGGCAGGGGTTGGAGCTGGAGGAGCTTTAAGCTCCCTTCAACCCAACCCATTTGGTGACTGAGAGCTGAGTTGGGATCATTTCAAAGCCCAAGCGCTGCCTATGGCCGGGCCCTTGACCCCTGTTGGGGTATGGGTGGTCTCTGCGTGGCTGAGCCACTGTGCTGGGGACCCACTGCAGCAGTGCCTGCTGCCAGGCACAACTGTGAGAGCAGCAAATCCCTGCAGCTCCCTCAGCAGAGCTCTTCCTGCCCCCTCTCCCTGTCCCAGGGCTGGAACCCCTCCAGGGACAGATTATCCTTGTGATGGATGCGGCAGCAGCCTCGAGGGGCCAGGGCTGGATCTGTTAAGGGAGAGCAGGCAGGAGCTCTGAGCACTGAGGGCAGAGTGACTGAGGAAAGCTAAACAGACCCATTAAAGCAAAGAAATTAAGAGGCCCTTTCCATCTGCTGCCAGCCGGTACATAGGTAAAAGATAAGTCACCTTTTGGAACTGCTCCTAATGAAACTTTACCTTGTTTGTCTGAAACGAGACACAGTCGTGTTTGTCCCGCTGGTTTCTCGCAGGCAGAGCAGAGCAGAGCAGGGCAGAGGTGGGATGGAAGCGTGCATGCACACATGGCCATACCTTAGCCACCCACCCTACGTTTTTCCCCAAGGAAATCTCCTCCCCGTGTCCTATTTGCAGAAGCGTTGCTCAAGAGGTGGAGTAGAGCTGCAAGAAGCTGGGCAAGAGGGTACAGCTCTAACTGGAGAACAGGGGAGCAAATGATTCCTTCCCTCCCCTCTCCATTGCATCTCCTGCTTAGAAAATGACCCGTTATTAAAGGAAAAACCCATTTCCTTTCTCCCCCCCCGGATAACCCCTTTGGTGCTGGCTGTGCAGTGCTGTCTTTTGATGAAGGCACCTTCGGAGAGCACTGATGGCCCAAAGCACAGGGCCCAATGCCTCCTGTTTACACCTGAGATTAGCGCTGCTGCATCTCTCCTGCCCTGAGCGCCAGCGCTACCCCTGGGGCTGCAGCAGCAGCATGGGGAGAGCAGGGAGCACACGGGGCCACATGAACACATACACACACACACACAGAGAGGACTCATCTGGCCCCGTGTGCCCCCATCACACCGCGCACTTGGCCATGTCACTCTTGTCAAAGACAACTTTGGTCGCAAAGTAAATGGCCACGAGGCCCAAGGCAGCAGCTGACACCATGTAGGCTGTCACGGACTGTGTAAACTGGACGATGGAGCCCATGAAGAGGGAGGGCACGACCTGAGAGAGGAGGAAGGCACTGTCCAGGATAGCCAGGTCCAGGCAGATCCCTCGGCTGGGAGCCTCCGCTTCTCCCACCATCATCCTGAGGGAGACGTCGCAGGAGGAGCCGACGCACAGAGCCGAGCCGGCAGCCGGGGACGAAGGGGAGGAGGAGGAGAAGAGGCTCCCAGTGTGCCCGTTCTGGTAGGGCAGCTTCTGGCTGGGAAGGAGCCCTTTGGAGAAGGATTTCTTGTCCAAGCGAGCTGCAGCTTCCTCCTCTCTGCTCTTGTATTTATGCAAGAACACCTAAGGGAAAGAAGAGGCGCGTGAGGAGGAGCGGTGCGGAGCCCAGCTGGCGAGGGGGGACCCCACTCTGCTCTGTGTGTGCTGGGTCAGGCTCTCAGAGGTGCGCAGAGCCCGCAGCGGGCCTGAGATAGGATCCCCAGGTGGGATGGGCTCCAGGAGCCATCCTGATGCGGGAGCCATCCTGATGGGGGAGCCACCCTGATGGGGGAGTCATCCTGATGGGGGAGTCATCCTGATGGTCCCCAGGAGCCACCATGATGGTCCCAAGGGCCACCCTGACGGTCCCCAGGAGCCATCCTGATGGGGGAGCTACCCTGACGGTCCCCAGGAGCCACCCTGATGGTCCCCAGGAGCCAGCCCCCCTCTTCCTGCCTGCCACAGGGGACGAAGCAGCCCTGGCTCACCAGGGGATGTGGCCGAGCGGTGCCTTGGTTGTGCTGGAGCCCAAAGGCAGCCCAGGTTCTGCCTGGCGACGCTGCACTGGGTTTCCTCAGCTCACCTTCCTCTTGTCACCTCCTCAGCGGGTGCAAGGGGAGCTGGCACCGAGCACAGCTCACTGAAGAGCAGCCACCCTCCATGGGCTTCACCTGGGCTCTGCTCGGCTGCCCACTGTACCCTTCAGCTCCTTAATTCCTGACTTTATGCTCCAATGCATCCATCCAGGAGCGGCACTTATCTTCTGTGGAGCTGAAACCCCTCCCACATGCCTGCTGTTGCCATCAGACTTCAAAGCAGCTCCAAACCCAGCACAGAAAGGGCATTGTGTGAGCCAAAGGAGGATGTCCCCCACAGCTCCAGCCCTTCCTATGCGACACTGATGTTCTCAAGGCTCAGGCCATGTTTCCTCGGTTTCTATAATGACCCAGGCTGGGATTTCAGTGGTACATGTTCTGGCAGGGGGGTGAATACCCAGTGTGGAGAATTAACCTAAATCCAGAGCAAGTGACTTAAATCCATACTCACAGGAATGAGCTTAGTGAGAACTCCTGCTTTAAAATCACCCCTTGCAACAGGATACAACCATGGGAGGCACAGGAGCCTCCATCAACAGCTTCATCTCGGAGAATCATGGAATGGTTTGGGTTGGAAAGGACCTGGAGATCATGCAGTTCCAGTGTCTGGCATGGGCAGGGACACCTCGCATTGGACCATGTCCAACCTGGCCTTGAACACTGCCAGGGATGGAGCATCTTTATCTCCAACCTGAACTTCCCCTGTCTCAGTCTGAACCCATTACCCCTTGTCCTATCACTGCAGTCCCTAATGAAGAGCCCCTCTCCAGCATCCCTATAGGCCCCCTTCAGACACTAGAAGCTGCTCTGAGGTCTCCACACAGCTTCTCTTCTCCAGGCTGAACAGCCCCAGTGTTCTCAGCCTGGCTCCATACAGGAGCTGCTCCAGCCCCTGATCATCCTCTCGGCCTCCTCTGGACTTGCTCCAACAGCTCCATGTCCTTGTTACTGGGGGACACCAGAACTGCACCCAGTGCTGCAAGGGGGACTTCCAAGAGTCTCCTCTGGAGCTGCTGGGCAGGGGTGGGAGGGAGGAACCCAGCAGTCCCCCACCTCCTGCCCCGGGTGAGGCCCCATGGCCACGCTAGGAGAGGGCATGCAGGAGGAGAGGGTGACTTACACAGGGTGTGCGGAGCAGGGAGCTCCAGCGGAGGCGGCCCCAGCGGTGCCACGGGGGGGGCAGCAGCAGCCACTGTGGGGGCCCCCTTCTGCTGCTGCGCTTCAGGAGCAGTGGTTAAAGACAGGGGAGAAAAGAGAGAGAGTGAAAACGGGGAGGGAAGAGAGGATGCAGGGAGGAGGGAATGAGGGGAGGCAGCAGCAGGGAGGAGAGGTCTCAACAGGAAGAGGAGAGGACAGAAATGGGGCAGATGGGGAACCCAAGGGCGCTTTGGGATCTACCTCTTGGGGCTCTCCCTGCAGCCTGCTGCAAAGTGCTCGGGGAAGGAAGGAGGAACTTTCAAGGCAGGGCAAAAGAAACCAAACCCAGCTACAGCCCACCCCGCACTGCACTTGGTGTCCAACGTTTCACACCCTGTATTTCCCTTGGAGCGAGGGGAATGGCGAGACCCTCAGTTTGCATGGTACTGATCTTCATGCTAGGGACAATAACTGCAAAGCAGACCTCGAAGGGAGGAAAATGAGGATTTTAGCACATCTCAGAGCTGCAGATGTGACTTGGTGCGGAATGCACCCAGCTGGAACTGACCTGCACCACTTTCCCTAACAATAAGCAGGACACAGAGGAACACAAGGCATCCCTTTTGATACACCAACCCCAGCTCCTTTCTTCCATCTTACCCACTCCCTGCTTTTTAAACCTGCATAAAGCCTGCTGTGAGCAGGGGCTGCCTAAGGAAGGAGATGCCAAGCTCTCTTATCAGCTCCATCCCAGGTGAATCTCCAGAGAAGACACAGCCTGGAGACAAGCGGCCCATGTGGAAAACCTTTGCACACAGGCACGTGTTTCTCTCCCCTGCGCTGAACTGAGTGGATCGGCTACAAGAGGCTCACAGCACCCTGCCCTCTGCAGCTGGTCCCTACCTGTTTCTCATGGTGGTACAGCGACGCCAGCGTGTAGGGCAGGATCTGGAGGGCAGAGAAGGTGAAGCCCGTCAGAGCAGCCGAGACGGTGACGACGGTGATGCTGTGGGAGAGGCACATGACGACGGCAGCGCCGGGGAAGAACACCACGCTGCTCAGGTAGACGGCGCGCGCCCCGAAGCGCGTCACCAGCCGGTCCATGATTGTCGAGAAGAAGATGGATGTGATGCACTGCAGGAAGAGCCCCAAGCTGCCCATGCGGACCCCTGCAGGGAAGCAGAGGGGGTGAGACTGCAGCCAGGCCTCACCCAGCACATCCACTGCAGCTCCCACCCTCCGCCAGCAGCAAGTATGCCCCACACATGCTCCCGGGCACCCCAGTCGAACCAGAGGGGCAATGGGACATAGGGATCCGAACAGCATCCTTGTCTTTGGAAGCTGTTTGCACCTTCCTACTCTTAAGCCAGCATCTGTCACCTGCCCATGAACCAGGATCTGTTGTTATCTGGTGCCAAAACCAGCAACAGAATGAAAGGAACAAGGAATTGTGCTTAAGCCAAGGTAAAGTATACAACATGCACTGAATGACTGCAGTATCCGGTAGCAATCCGGACCTTACCCTTTGCAGAGCTCTATCAGATTTCAGGGAATTAAAACCATTAACTCTTTGGAGCAAGGAGCATTACTCAACATATGTTTCTGTGGCAGCCAGCACAATGGAGCCCTGGCCTGCTGGGAGCTGTACAGTGCAAGTGTTAAACAATAATTAAGCTCCCTCTAAGTTAAACAGACATGGGGCACAAAGAGGCAGTGTGCTGCAGAGCTCACAGAGGCAGCGAGGGGAAAAACCAGAGGGCAAGATGTACAGCCGGAGGAGGAGGAGGGCCAGGAAGGTGCCTCCAACAATAAAAGACTTGGATCCGGGAGAGGAGAAGGGCCAGGAGCCAGCCGAGGCTCTGGCAGCACACAGGAGCCAACAGGAGCAAGCAGGTAACATGCTGCAGTGAGAGTATCCCATGATGTGGACGTGGCAGCTACAGACTCCCGTGGTGAGCACTATCAGAAAGCACTGGAGAAAGGGGTGAGAAGTGGGGAAGCTGCCCGAGGGCTCCCCAGATAGCGATGGGAGATGGGAATCTCAGAGCAGAACAACTGCAAGGTTGTGCATTACCAGCAGAGCTGAGCCCATCCCAGCTCCCACTGACTGCTCCTGTCCCAGGGAACAGATGCTGCACTTCTCACCTTCATCATAGTGGCGTCTGGCATCCGTGCCTGGCTTGGCCCTGGGGACACCGTGGTACAGCCCTTCCCCAACAAAGTCCGTGTAGAACAGCATGAAAGTCATGAGTGCCATCCAGCTGCAGAGCTCGGCCACGAACAGGCGTCGGATGACCTTGGGGATGCGGCAGTAGAGGCTGTGAAGCCGCGGCACCAGCGTGCAGAGGCTCCTCAGCGCCTGCATCGTGTGCCTGGCCTGCAGGAGACACGAGCTCCTGGAGATGTGGCAAGAGCAGCAGGCAGGGGGGCAGGGTTTAGGGGGAGCATCCTTCAGTGCGGGGCCATCCAGAGCATCCGCCTGGGTGGCTGCCTCCTCTGTCACAAAGAGCGTGGCCAGCACACAGCCGAGGAAGATGATGGCGAGGAGGCTGAAGAGGCAGGTCTCCTGCCCTCCCAGGTACGGGGCCAGGAAGCTGCCACCCCAGTCTATGGCTGGAAGCAGGTAGCCAATGCAGCCCCCCAGGCTGATCATGAAGGCATACATGGAGAAGGCCTGGCGGCAGTTGTCTGGCTCCTGGAAGAGGTCTGAGAGCAGAGCCTCCAGTGGGGTGAAGCAGACCTGGCCACAGAAGTCCAGTAAGCCGATGCCCAGGATGAGGAAGGCAATCTCCAGAGGCCGAGGGTTGAGGGCAAACAGGCTGGCCAGGCTGCTGGCATGTGGGATAACGAAGAGGCTGAGCAGGACCCCCAGGCAAAGCATCCAGATGAAAGGTCTCCTCCGGCCATAGCTGCTGTGCCAGTGGTCACTGGCGGAGCCTATCAGTGGGACAAAAACCAAGCCAAGGACAGGTCCTATCCCTGGAACAGAGGAAGAGGCAGTGTCAATGTCTGGAGCACACTGCTCTGCGTGCACTGCAAAGAAATAGCTTCACTGGGACACAGCCCCCTCCTCCAGGAACACGCTGCCCTAGATGTGCCCTCAGAGACAAGCCCCCATGCCTTTATTTGCCCTCCACACTCAAAGGGAAAACAAGCACTTTGAAAGCTGCCTACCCAAAACCATGGTCATGAACTTCTCCTCCACTCCCACTTCCAGCAGCAGCGGAGGCACGTAGGTGATCCCTGCAGCCAGGCAGACCTCCAGGCCGAACGTCAGGGAGTTCACCAGCAGAAGCTGGGTCTTGCTGTTGTGGAAGAGCATGATGGCCCTGGGTGCCTGCCCCGAGCTGGCCCCGGCTGCTTGCCCAGTGCTGGCCCCGGCTGCCTGCCCCGTGCTGGCCCACAGCCCTAGTGCCAGCGAGCTGCTGTGCTGTGGCTGCGGCTGCAGCTGTGGCACAGCCAGGGATGCTCCACAGGCCAGGTCTGGAGCTCCCCTGCCTGCTCTGCTGCACGGATGCTGCCTCCCATCTTTAGCAAGGGGGAATGAAGTGTCTTTTCCTCTTCCTCTTTGGGCAAGATGTGGCCCCAGCGATGCTGAGTCCAGGCGTGGGCAGGCACGGATCCCACTCCAGGCTTCCCCTTCTGCTCACATGCTGTGGTCTGTAAGGAGAGAGAGCTTGTCAGACACAGCGGGGTCCAGGGCAGGGGAAAGGGCTAAGCCCAAGCACCACAGAGACACGTCATCGCTGAGAGGGACAGTCACACTGGAGGGCGATAAGAGGACATCTGAGAGCAGCAGGATTGAGACACAGCCACATCGGCGCTGGGTGCCTCTCCAAGGGCTTGTGACAAGTGTCAGTCATGCTCTGGGGAAATGCAATGCTGCCTTTGGGCCAAGGGAGGGCTCATGTCCAGCCTCATCTCAGAGAGGGGACCTTGTAGCAGACAAACAAAGGACTTAGGGTCCCCTCTCCCAGTGGTATCAATGAGAAGCCCCTCCAAGGCTCAGGGCTGCAGCCACACAGGGTGATCCCCAGAGCCACCCACTGCCTAATGACAGGGCATCACCCGCACTGCTCCGCGGGCTCCCAGGGGAGCAGTTTCACCCAAACCCCATCTCCAGCCCAAGACAGGGCTCAGGGAACAGATGGTGCCTCCATGGAGTTTCACAAACAAACCTGACCCACTTTAGCCTCATCTAACAGTGAACAGCAATTACCTTACTCATTAGGCTGAGTCATTTACTTGCCCTGTAACATGCTCCCTCCTTCCAGCCTTCTGCAGAGGGGAGAGGCCACCAGGGCAGGACAGGGGCTAAGCAGCCTTAGCAAGAGTAAGCAGATGCCATTTGTAACCTGTTAGGACCCTGCCACGATGTCAGTCCCCAGCATCTAGTCCACCCAAGCGCTGCCTTGCTTGGTCTGTGGGTATGCTATGGAAGGTAGAGTGGGTTAGCAGGACACGAAGCTCCTTCACAGCCACTGATTCAACAGTGAACCAAGCTGCCTAGCTCTCAGCATTCATGATCCCACTTTGCACAGAAGCTTCAGCCTCCTGTGCCTCCACGGTGCTTTGGGTGCTGTGCATGGAGGAGGCTGAACGCAGATGAAAAAGAGGTGAGAATCCAGGTGTGCAGCCTGGTGCCCCTCCAGCTTTGCCTTCATTACAGGGGAGAGGAACGGGAACAGGGAACATCCCCAGCGCTCCCCTTCCTCCTCAGCAGAGGCTGAACCAGGGGTGCTGGACCACAGCCATGCCACAGCTACACTGGGCAGAGAGAAAACCCCATGTGAACACCAAACGCGGCGCCAGTGAGCGTTCCCTAAGCTCACAGATGCATTTGATGCCATCACGGCACAAGTGAGCAGACAGGTACAGCTGGGACAGCTTCTGCAGTCTCACTTTTCCTTCCCCTCTTCAGATAAGCCCTATGGAGATGAGTGGGTGAGGATGTGTGGTGATGAGGTTCCTACAGAGGGGCAAGCATCACTCCCTGCCTCTTGCTGCTGCAGAGGGGAGGCACCTCCTGAGCTCAGGAGCTGATGGGCTGCCAATGACAGGCAAAAAGGACTGATTATTTTCCTTCCTATCTCTCAGGTCCCCCCCTCCCAACAGCTTAGACCCCAACTGGCACAGGAGATACTTCCTTTAACAATTGTGAACACTCAAATGACTTGCCCAAGGTCAAACAGCGAGGGGAGGCAGGCGGGAACAGCAACAGTTTTCCTTTCATCACCAGACATGGCTTCAAAGGCGGGCTCGGAGGCCCCAGCCATGCTCAGCCTTACTTCAGATGCACTCTATCTGCAAGGGCTGGGGGCAGCAACCACCGTCCTCAGATGTGGGCCACACACAGGATGCTCAGCCCTGCTCATGGTGATGGGTCCCCAGCTGGCTCACAGCCCTGGGATGGGAACTCAAGCCCCAGCAGCACGAGCCTTGGTGCTGTTGGCTAAAGGGAGCAGGCTCCCAAGCCAGAATGAACCGAGCCACCATTGCTCTAAGATAGACCTGGGAGGGAGGTGTCGTGTCCACTGACTGCTGCAGTCCAGGCTCTGGAGGGCTTAAGGAGGGGACTCATCCCTCTTTATCCCAAGGTAAGCTCCAAACACTCGATAGAAGAGGTCTTACACACAGAGAGAGGATTTCTTATCAGTAGGGAAGTCAAGACCTGTCTCTTCCCCCTCCACACCCTCACAGGGCTTTAAGGACCAGAGAAATCCCTGTGTGTCCAGAAGCAATACTCACGCACAGTCAGAGATGAGAAGCTGCCACCAACAACCAAACCGCAGCTCCAGGTGCGCCCTTTCCTGTCTCAACTGCGTTTGCTGCCAATCCCCATCAAGGCCTCGGTTCTCACTTTGCTCACAGCACACAGGGAGCTGCACTGGCTCGGCTGGACCGAAACCCCCGGGGAGGCCGGGGGCAGAGGGATGGGAGAGGGAGGCTCGGGAGGCGCTGCAGGGAGGGAGGCAGGAGCCGGGACTCACCTCCTGCAGGCGGCGCGGTCAGAGGTGGTCCCTGGCTCCCGGAGCCGCTCCGCAGGGTCCCGCAGCCCTCGGGAGCAGCTGATGTCGGGCGCAGAGGTGGCACCCGCGGCAGGTACACCCAGGGCTTGGTTCCAGGGCCCTCCCTGCCGGGGTGGGAGCAGCACCGCGGCCACACCTGCACTGGGCAAACACAGGCACCGGCGCGGCGATGCCGCTGTGCCAGAGCGCGGCCCCGGCAGCACCGCGGAGGGGCTGGGGCTGCACAGACCGGGTCAGGGCACGGACCGGTACTTGCTGGGTAAAGATGGGACCTTCCCTGCAGCGTCGCCTCTAAGGCAGAGCCCCAGCAGCAAGCCCAAAGACTTCGTTTAGAGCTCCCCTCTCTCCCAGACAGCTCCTCTGGGCTGGTTTGGTTCTGGAGCTCTGTAAGCTCTGTCTGGATGTGGAAGGAGTCGGTCACCTAGGGGGGTCCTGGTCTAACAGCAGCATTTACACCTCACACACAAGGGAGCTGCCAACAGCCTGCCCACCCCGGGTCTGGCATCTTGTGATGGGGAGGCCCTTTCACAGCCAGACAGGTCCAAACGCTGCAGGACAACAAGAGCTTCCTCCCCCCGGGCTCAGTTTCCCCCAGCCTCCACAATCCAGAGCACAGCGCCAAGCCCCTTGCCACAGATCCTCCCCAAGAGGGACACAGAGCCCTGCACACAGAGCAGAAGGGAGCCACATGGGGGGCTCCTTCACAGCTGCTCCCCGAGCTCTCGTGCCACGGGGCCAACTCCTGCTGCTGAGCTGATGACGCCTTCCCCCGCTCTTCCTCTCCCCGCCCCCGAGGGAAGGTAAAGCATCTTTAAACACCGCGGCCTGAACGTGAAAACCAACCTTTTCCTGTCCTTGCTCTGCAGAGAAACAGCAGATCAACGCCGAGAGGCTGGGTCAGCAGGCAGCAGGTAGGAGGCGGGTCCTGGGGCAGGAGCAAAGCAGCAGGATGCGGACAAAGGCAGAGAGGAGACCAGAGGAGAGGGCTCCGCTCCCCACCTGCACACAGGAGCCTCTCCGGCGAGGGCAGCCAAAGCACAAAGCCCCGCACCTCCTGCAGCCCCGCACGTCCCGCTCCCCCGCTCTGGCCCGATGCGGCTCGCAGAGCACAGCTCGCCCGGCAGCACTGGCAGGGAGCAGGAAGGGGTGAAAGCAGGGCCAGGCGCTTCCCCGAGCCCGCTCCTCTGAAGGCAGAGCAGCCCCAGGCCAGAGTCACGCATTTCCCCTGCCCGCAGCTTGCTCCCTGCTCGCACGCTCCAGAGGCAGCTGTGACAAACACCTCCCTGCGGTGCCGAGGCGCAGCCGGGCCCCACATGAGGAACCCCGGGATGTGCACGGGGGAAGAGCAGCAGCGAGGGCAGAGCCACGCACTGGGGCCATCACGGAGCGCCCTGGAGGTGCCAGCGGGATGGACTGGCTCGCACACAGCAGCACCAGCACCAGCACCAGCACCAGCTCACCTCCTGTTTCCCTTGTGGCTCCGAGCATCCCCATGGGCAGACCCTGGGCTCATCTTTCACTTCTAGAAGAAGCCAACCCCAAATCGCTGCAGAAAGAGGACTGTGTGCACTGATGGACACGCACAAGCACGGCTGGAGGCAGTCTCCCTCCTCTCCATCTTCCCAGTGTAGGAGCTTACAAGTAAACACCTCCAGACAGTGCTTAGGTAGACTGAAGATTGAGGGACGTGGCAGAGAAAACCTCATTTGTTCCTCAGAGGAATCCATATCCTGGTACTCCATAATCCTTGCAGTCTCTCAGGTGGATGCAGAAGGGAAAAGAGGTGTTATTAAACGTGGTAGCAGCCCCTCTGATTGATGACAGTTGTGCACCTACCCCATGGTTCAAAGAGCCACAGTAATGATCACACTGGATTCATCAGCTGTTTGTGACCTGGCAGGGCTCTGCAAGAACCTGAGCCCTGTCTTACCTGGGGAAGAAATGACCCCACAGAAGCCTTTTCCTTAGCAAAGGAAAAGCCTTGGCTTTTTGGAGAAGCTGATCCCGGCCAGTGCAGGAGGTGGTGGGGATGTGGAGGGCTCCAGCCCAGCACTTCCCAGGTGCTACAGACCCACATCACCACAGGCTGGGTGCAGAAGCCTATCCCCCCTCAGGCAGCAGAGGGGTAGGGGTATTGCCAGCCTTTGGCTTTCCATTCACAGCCACAAGGGTCCATTGCCAACCCTCCAAGGGGCTCTTTCTGAGTGTTATTAATGCCCTACTCCCTGGAAGCCCTTTGGAAGAAAGGGTGGGAGAGAGCACAAGAGCAAGTGCTTAGGGAAGGGCTGTTCACCCAGTGCCAGATCCTTTCACAGCTATCAGTGTCCATTCACTGCAGCTGAATGGGAAATACACCATGGAGAATAGCTCTGGCAGGCCCGGCGGGATGAAATGGAGCCCTCACCTGACCTCTCCTGACCCTCTCCCCTTCCCCCTCCCTTCCCAAATCTCCTTGACCCCATTCCCAATGTGGGCAGAGGGGAGTGCTCATTAAGCAGGGATGGGAGAAGGGCGATTGAGTCCCTCTGAATTAACTTGCACTTCCTTTGAGCTCCCTTCTGTGAGCTCGGCTTAGGGGAAGAGCAGCAGCAACAGCAGCAGCAGAGGGTGGAAATGCCCTGGAGGGGACCAAGGAAGACCCAGTTTGGTTCAAAGGGATGCAGTTGCCTTTGGCAGGACAGGGGTGGGTTCTTTCCTGCCACGCTGCAATGTTTCACTGCAGCATATTCAATGCCACCATCAACATTGATGCTGAGCAGTCCTTACCATGAG